CAAGTACACCTCAAACCTCTAAGGAACAGAGAAATTATATATTTTATCGATCAAGGTTATTAATTTTCCTATTATGTATCTTGCAAAAGCCAGCTAAGCCTAATGTTACCATTGAACAACCTAAGCTTCACTGGAAGAATTCATTTATGTTATGCCGAGATAGGAAAGAAAAACTTTATTATAAAAAAAGACAAAAACAATTGAAATTGAAGAATGTGATTTTAAGTTTAAACTTTCTAAAAACTTGCAAGATAGAATAATTGACACTAACCTTCCTAAAAATTAAAGTGAACCTTCAACCCAACCTAAAAATCAAACAAAACCTGTAAAACAAACTATAAAGGAAAAAGACACACAGAGAACTGAAATTTATCTGTAAAAATGAATTTAACCTCTGTAGCAACCTCACACATTTAACTATCCCTGAATATTACAACTTACTTTTGCCATTAATACAGAAAAGCACCTACTTTAAAGGCTTAATTATAAAACAAAATTTATACAGAAAGCAAGAAAAACTTTGCCTGTCAGCACAATCCAAAAAACAGAACCAGACACTGTAAAGAACAATATAATCAACCTTGCAAACTTTCAACTCAGTAAATCTCAAACCACAGCCCTAAATAAAGGTGTAAACTATGCAAGTCAGTAACTCTTTCTACCATCCCAGTGTGAGATTTGAAAACCAGCCTTAAAGACCTGTGCAGGAAAGTAATAGAATCAAATCCAATTAACAGCAACTAATCCTAAGTTAAAGACCACAAGAAGAATCTACATCCAATTCATCTTGGGACAAAGAGAATCATCAGAAACAGATGTACATGAGAATGATCGCACCAGTGATCAAAACATCATACCTGTTTTAAAAGCAAATGTTACTTACTGTAAAAACTGTAACTTGTAATAAAATATAGTTAAACAGTAGGTAAACTGAAAATGAAACTAAAGATGAAATATGTATTCGTAATGTAGTTTTTAGCTTTTGTAGATGAAGGTTAGGTTGTGAATTTGATTTATCTCAATTTTCAGTAAGCATTTGACAAGGTGCCACTTAAAAGGCTTGATTTAAATTTAGGTGTGGGGAATAAGTTGGCTTGTTGGATAGAAAAATTATTGGATAAAGAAAAGCAGAGGGTTCTTATAAATAGTTCAGTGAAGCTGAATTCATGTCACAAGTGGGTCACTTCAGGACTCGGTGTTAGAACCTTTGCTCATTTTGATAGAGGAAGGGATGATCAATAAATTACTTAAATTTGCTAATGATATTAAGGTCTTGGTTATTGCTGCATGAGAATGCTGCTGCTTTATGCAAGGATTTGGATTATTTGGTGAGTTTGGACAAATAAATGACAGATGACGTTTGATTATAATAAATCCAAGGTAATGCATGTGGGTTATTGTAACTTAAATTATAAGTATAATTTTTATGGGAATAACCTTAACAGTGTTATGGAAGAAAAGGATCTTGGTATTATGATTGAATAGTCTCTAAAGCCATCCAAAAGTTTGATGTTACTAGTGGTAGGGCAAATGGAATTGTAGGTTGTATCTACATAAATACTGAATATAAATCTAAAGAATTTTTTACTTTTATTGTTTAGTTGCTGTTTAGGCCTCATAACAAGCATTGTGTTTAAGTCTTGAGCTTCTTCCTCAGGAAGGACTTGAATTGTTCAAAAAGTGTTCAAAGGAAGACTACTAGCATGATACCTGGGATGGAAAGATTGTCATTTAAAAACAAGTAAGATCTTTGAAATTTCAGCAAGGCCACTTTTAACTTGTCATAGTGCATGTCATCTTTTGTTGTCATGCCCGCATACACTTGTAAGCCTTTTCCTGTGAGAAGGGGGCTGAAACAGACTGCCCAGTCACCTTTGTCCCAGTTCTGACTTTTGGCAAATCTTTCATACCTCTCCAGGAAAGCATTCATGTCATCTCTCATCATCAAACTTGGGCAGCTTGGGTCAGCTGGCCCTGAC